CACAATGAAACCATTTACTTGTTTCAAAACAATGAACAATTCAAGCAAACCAACAAACAAAAAAGTTCCTTGTACTATTAAGGGCATGATACTATGGTTCTTTTATGATTTCAGACATCTTAGTCCTATAAATGTGTACAAAACATTGTTTTGAATTGATAATCATATTGATATAGCCATAACATAATCTAACACATTTGCCCACCCTTGAAACTCCTTTGGTAAATTAGAAGGTATGAATAAAAATGACAATGATATAATGTCACAAATGCCAACAAATGAGCACTAAACCAGCTATGCATGAAAGAACATGAGCAAGACAGCACAGCAGAAAATGACTGTGACAAGAACGGATGGATGACCACCTGGGGATCATGTTTATATTGCCAAGAATCATTACTTCAGGTATTTGTTCCAAAGCCCAATACTTCATTTCACATTCTGCTAGACACATAAGTGATCCACAGCGTCTTTAAAATCAGATTAGGCACAATGACTGACCAATCAAAACTGTGCAATACCAGCAACTGTGAGTAATAAAAATCCAGACAATAATAGCTAAAGATATGCCACGGAAGATTAGATGTAAGTGGTTCCAGAGAGCAAAAATGCTTTCGAATTGAAGAGATGATGTGACTCAAACACAAAACAGAGAATAAGCATTATTAACTGCATGCACGAACAGTCAAACTTAACTAATGACTGTAACATTTATAGACTTTATAGTTTACCAAACAGCTTGTGTTAAGAAATTAATTCCTCTGAAAGTCACTCACCTATTTCAGGTGATGGTTCCTGGAAAGCTACTGCTGGTTAATTTTCTGAAACGCCCTTTGCTGTTTTTAACTGAAATAAAAGGGTTGAATCATCCGCAGTTATACCACGTATACCACAGTTAGTATACGCTTCGGAAAGCTCGTTTTCCCAAGAAAGCTTGCCGTAGGTGCCGGGAAGTTATTTGATGTGTTTATTAGGGCATGCTTGGATCTTAAACACGTGAAAACATTTAGGTTTTGGTTAAGTATGCTGTATACTTCCATGAAAATTTGACTGTGAGGTCTATAACCTTCAAGTACCAGTTAAGAACTGAGCACTACACTGTTTCGGCCTATGATGCAATTCAGATGCAGTTCCAAATATTACATTTTATGTGTAATTGTGGTCTTCACGGTTATATCTGTGAGATAAAAAAGTGGACTACAGATACTATACCGACAGTCTATGTGGCATTCCGTCATTAAAGTGTAAACACTTAGAAGGATCAGAAGAGTTTAGGGCGGCATTTGGGACAGGGCCTTCAAGTTGCCCAAACCGATAAAGCAGCAGTCTTTATGCCGCACTTGTGGCATATATGAAGCATTGTGCTAAAGAAAAAAAACATTACATAAGAGTACTGCTGGGATGATGTATTTTTGTAGGCCAAAAACGTGGATACGAATTAGCATTTTAGCACTTCTGGTTCTACTGTCCCAAAATCAATAGGTTTTTAGTAAAATGCTTGAAATAAGGTCTGTGGTTAACACAAGCTGATGATATGTTCACGTTTTATTCTACAATATAAAACACACATATCAGTATTACCCCCTTGCGATTTTTTTTAAAGCTTTACTTTGCAAAAAAAGTGGCCTAAATGGGACTACAGAGGTTGTCAGGGAAATTAAACATCATCACGTCATACAGAGAAACTCATACTAGTCTGCTTTCACAGCCTTGTTGTGCTTATAATCATGCTCTTGAAAATAGTTCTAACTAAATATTTCAGAGAAAATGCTTTTTTTAAAGGGATAGTTCAATTCTGTTATCATTTACTCACTGTCAAGTTGTTCCAAACCTGTATGAGTTTCTTTCTTCTGTTGAACCCAAAAGAAGATATGTCAGTAACCAAACAGTTGACGACAGTCATTGACTCCCACAGTACCTGAAAACTCATACATGTTTGGAACAACTTGAGGGTAAGTAAATGATGACAGAATTTTCATTTTTGGGTGAAAAATAAACACTCAAAGAGTTGTCAGAAGCTTAGTGATGGTGACGTCGTGTTCAGTTGTGTAGATTATCAGAATCATGACCTTTTGTTGGTCAAAGAGTTTATTTTCTGCAATAATTCAAAAGCCAATGGACCGCTCCCATTGGGGGAACCAGAGTGATGCTAACTTCCAGGTTGGCTTACAAAAAATAAATCATCACTGCTGCACTCTATTGCAATGGAATTGCTTAAACAGTATTTTTATTTGTCTCGTTTTCCAATTAAAATATATAAACATCTGTACAACAATCTACATTTACAAAATTGCAATTTTCCAGAGAACATGTAATTTATGCAGAAATCTAAGCATTTCAAATGTGTATGCTTCAAACAATGCTGTAAGAGAAATGCATTTCAAATAAACTATCTGAAAACAAGTCTTATTATTTTATATAATAAATAAATGTATAGTGTGCATCATTTTCCAGAGCAGAACTACTGCGGTGACTGGCAGGCCACATAAACGCTTCCATGAAACAGAGCAGAAATAACCACACTTCTAAATCTGCTTGTGATTTCTTTCTTAGCATGAAAACAGCATTTACACCATGCAAAGTGCTGATAGTAAAAAAGATATGACCCACTTGTTTTGAATCAAATCCACTGGATACCCACCAGCGGCTGGTTATACAACCAGCCTGTGAGGATTTATATTAATTTTGATGTGCAGATTATTAACAAATAAATAACATGTGCTGTCCGACCACTCGGATGAGCAGATGCCAGCACAGTCATTATGACATCAAACCACTTACTCCTATATATAAAGGATACACAATAGCAATAAAAAAGTGTCAAGCAGATAACTTATTAGAACAGAGGGGATTTTGCGTAAAAAGTCACGGTGGTTTCACGATGCATTACTTGGCAAGTGTACACGAGAGCATGTATCTCACGACATGGGGATGTGATGAGATGTGTCATTTTCATGGAGCAGATTCTCTTCCTGAGGCTTAAAATAATTTGTGGCTGTCTGTATTCATTGACTTGATGATGTTGCAATAACAATGCCTCTAGGGGACTTGCCCCATCTGCTTGGAATACACCCTTGATTTTTTTTCACCCTTGAGTCGTCGCTCAAGCACTGATATAACCAAAGTCTGGTTTCAACCTGCTTCAACCACATTTAACAGCTGGTAATGCAGATAGGAGGAACAAACAGGTAATCGCTCTATTACCAAAAAAAGGAAACACATCACAGCTGTGCTGTCATACTTGCATCAAAACATGTGGAGTTCACTATGAACATAATACTTCAATGCTGTTAGAATCTAATTCTGGTGCACACTTCATTCATGCTTTATTCCTCTCATAAAGTGACAACACGATTATGTGTCTTCCAGTCACCGCAGCATATCAATCTCTCACTATTTTCTTTTAGATTGTGTGGCACTATAGAAAACCACAAATGGATTCAGACAGTCAGTTTGTCACTTACACCAAGAGCAATCGAGCATCTATACTCTGCTGTTAGACTGGCAGAAACATCTGAGCTGGAGCGTTTTATCTTTCCAGAACACATTTTTAAAAATGTCGACACTGTGTTTCTACTTTCTACCGATAAAAAGACGAGAGGGAGAGGCTTTACTCAGGCTTAAATATAGAATTGGGTGTTGTTTAACTCAAAGGAAACTGGTAGGAGTAAAGTTGTCTTTCCTGAGCATGTCTTCACTTGGCAGGAACATTTCCAGCAGCCTTATGAGGCACTTAAAGTAATGTTACCATAGTCACGCAGCCTATTTGCAATTCGATCGTGTCTAATGTGCTAAAACAGTGCATTTAAAAACCAAACAGATCGCAACTGTGCACAACTAGTAACACTGTTGAAACATTGAAAGTTTTTGAAGGACAAATTGATCAAAAGTGACAGGCAGTAAAGACATGATGTTACAAAAGATGTCTATATCAAATAAATGTTCATCAAAGTATCAGTTTCCACAATTAAGCAGCACAAACATTTTCAACATTGATAATAATCTTGAGCAGCAAATCAGCATATTAGAATGATTTCTGGATCGTGTGACACTGAAGACTGGAGTAATGATGCTGAAAATTCACCTTTGCCATCATAGGAATAGATACAATTTTAAAATATGTTCAAATATTCACAATATTAAAATTTGTACTGTATTTTATATCAAATAAATAATCGGTCTTGCTGATAATAGAGATCCCCCCCCCCCCCCCCCCCCAAAAAAAAAAAACATTCCAAAAATCATACCAACCCAAAACTTTAAAGCAGACGTGTATACAATCTAAATATTGAATTTGTTGTTTATTTATATGGACTGATAAATATGCCACATGAACCTGCAACAATCCAGAGAGAAGAACCCAATCAAAAATATTTGAACAGAAATAATTACCATCTACTGTTTTTCTCTCTCTTCAGTTACGAATTTGGGCATGTTCCATTCTCAAATGATTTTGGCAAGGCATCTGGTGTCATATTAGCTGTACTCAATATAGAAATCATTAATTCCACATTCCTAACTTGTTAACAAAATGTGTAGGTGGCTGGAATGTGTGAGGGCTCGTACGGAGTCATTATCCCAAGGACAACATCTCCCATGCAGTCACATCATTTGAAATGAACTCGATCACCAATTAGATGTGCATTCCAGATGCTTCGCAGGAAGTTAATCATCAGATGTTTACAAGGCTGATGCTGAAGCATATTTGTCTGGGAAATGAATCTCGACTCTACAATTCAAAACCTCTCTGACCCCGTGAACACACCAATGCAGGAGATATGAAAATGATTCGGAAACAAAACAAATGGTGTCATCTAATTAAAAACGATATTACAGGAATGCTGGAATAATGATTTCTCTCAGGGGTTATGTTCCATCCTTTTAAGACAGGGCACATAAAGTTGTTGGCTAGTTTAGAACAGGGATGTGGCTGCTGTCACTCAAGACAACTCCCGCCCCTTCCCACCCCCAGTAAAGTATATAAAAGCACTCAGGTTTTTCTGTGTAACTCAGACCATTAGCAGTGTCACAGCTGAATACTCATCCTTAGCCAACTAAGATTTGGACACAACTTGGAAATACACAAAAATACTGACTTCAACATCACCACTTTTCAAGTGTGCAGTCAATTCTAGAGAGCGACCGGAGTTATCAGGTATGTTTTCTTGGTTTGTTCTCTGCCTTTTTGGTTTCAAAGGTCAAGGCAAAAGCATAGGTTAGCGAGACATTTGGCCTTCTGGCAAGTCATTTTCATTGCACCAAGTGTGCACTTGTCTCAGGCAAATTTAAGACTTGCTACTGGTAAAATGACACGGTTGAGCAAAACTTAACCTCTGTGTAACTTTTCAAAATAAATGAATGACCAGTGTGGAGTCAACAAGGAGTAGGAAGATCACGTCATTGGGACTTTTGTTCAAAAATCAGGGTTTTTTTTTTCATGAGAAGAGCATGCATTTTATATGATTAATAATAACATTGCTGTTCTTCCACAGGTTCCATTTACAATGAACTCAGTGCTTCAGAAGGCTTTCCTGTGGTGTGTGCTGACTGCATTTCTGCCGAGCATCACGGGTGCAAAACCTCTGAATACAGATGGTTTGAGAAGGTACGCTCTCATGACTGAACCACTCTTGTCATTCAAAACTCTGATTTTGAATAAAATCTCATGGGTTTCTATTGTCATCTGCTAGGCTCAGTGTTTGGCTTCAGGGTAAGGTGAGGAAAGATGTCAGCAGCGTGTCTGAGAGAAGCGAGAGCGACTCGACAGCTTTGCTGACTCAGAGGAACAGCGGTACCGAGTCATTTGTACCACAGCACAGGTATGTCACATTATTTGACTGGACAAACACACATATCAAGGGCAAACTGACTAATCACTAGCAGCAGATAAAGGAAAACTAAATGCTTTCTGTTTCCCTCCAGGAGTGTGAGGGTAAAGCGGGCAGAACCAGCCTACACGGTCAAAAGAGTCGAAAGAGCGGGCTGTAATCTGGCCACCTGCTCGGTGCACGAACTGGCCCACCTGCTGAATATGATGCACACGAAGACGAGCAACGCCCCCACTGATAAGATCGGCTCAGGGGGCTACGGACGGCGACGGAGACGTTCACTCCCATCAAACCACCCTGCACTAACGTTCCACGAAGGCCGTCTAAAGCTGGCATGGGTTCGATCCATCCACAAAGGGATTTAAAGAACAACCCAGGAACACCTCTGTGGTTTGTCCAGAGCCTTTGGTTTATATTGGCTCCGTTTACTGAGATACTTCTGATACTTCCTTTGCTGAACGTTAGTGTACTCTCTTCAGGCACAAAGGAGCAAGAGGAGCATCCTTCTCTCCATCCTCTGCCTGATGGGTTGGACAGAGAAGGATTCAGGTCGCTTAAAGTGGTTGTGGAAAAAAGGAGTGCTATCAGTTGAGACAAAAAAATATATATATTAAAAAAAAAAGCTTTGTGAGGGTCTAAGGCAATACGACAGGAAATGGGTGGTCAATGCTCTGTGCATGTGTTTAGCATTCTTGTCATTCTAATGGAGCTTTGGGACTTGACTCTCTGTCTCTTCTGCAGCACTGATGCGCCCTCTGCTGGAGGAATGAAGGAGCAACCCAGGACACTGCCAGCCCAAACTTTCAGTGAAGAGGACAGAGAGTGAATAGCAAGAAGAGCTTTCATAAAGCTATTTACCCTGGAGGACCAATGATGAAGAACAGAGAGAGAAAACTCTTCATGGAAGAAATGATTTTTGTTGTCCTCAAGGACATCCACATACTTGAAGACTGATTTATCTATACTGTGGGGGCCGTGCAATAATTTACTTTAATATTATAATGTAGTCTTTTATTGATGTGTGTATAAAGATGTATATTATGAAAACACTGTAGGGCCTACGTTTAAAAGTTCATATATTTATATCTACAAAACTGTACATGTATCCTTAAGAAACTATTGTTTATTTTGCGTTTATTTTGAAATAAGATGTTTATCCTGTGATTTCATATCGCTATAATGCGAAGCATTTTTTCCACATGAATCATTCAATAATGTGTTGTTAATTGATATATTAAACTCCTGCAAGTGTGAGTGAGGACAAATTGTATCTTATTTCCAGGGCAGCTTTCAGGTCGGTACATTGAACGCAAACATAAATGAGTAGCTAAACATAGGCTGATGAAGTTGGTCAAATATTATGTGTGGACCGACTGAAAATTATACATTGTGTTGACGCCATCATGAGAAACTGAAATTACATCCTTTTCAATGCTTTATTACTTTACACAAAACGTTTACATTTTTAATTACCGTCACGCACGCTACTTTTAAGTAAAGTAGCCGCAGTAAAATATTTAATAAAAAGTCGTTTTGGCAAGTGGACTGTGGGAAAAGTAACTTTTTGAACTACATTACAAACCCAGCAGAGGGCGCGGTTTCCCTATTAATTATTAGTCTACACGCTAAAGCAACATTTCACGTTTGATAAAAGGAAATAAATAGTTGCAAATAAAACACTTACCAAATAAAAGCAATGTTAAGATAAGGTCATTTAACTGTGACTTGCAGATTAAAATACAGTCTTGAGCAACGTCCTTCATGAAATGAGTTGGAGAGATAGCCTATAAAAAAAGACTTTCCCACATTGTTTGTTTCTAATTAAAAAGTGTTGCACTCAAAAGAATGGTAGGCTACTTCTCAGAATTTTTTAAAATAGTGTACACGTACATGAAATGAATTTGTCTCCAAGATGTGTTTTGTAAAGGATGAAGTTCTTGTTTGACAAATCGTGTTAAAAACGCGGCGCTTGTGCACGTGCGAGACGCCGAAAAAATAGCAAGACGCAAAGACGTCTTTGCATTTTTTACATAGAGAAATAGAAAAAAGCAGCAAAAGGGATTAAGGAACGCAATGACGCGTTTTTTTGTGTGAAGATAAACATTCGCCTTCATCTCAGTTCTCTTCTCAAATTAATGGGATGTCATGTGTATAAAGTCAAGCCTCGAGGTTGAACAACATAACGCGAAACATATCCATAAAATGCTTTGTAGTAGAGAAAAAATGTAGTTAGTTAGCCTATGTTTTGTTTTCATCAACAAATAGGCTAGTCGCAAAACGTCGAAAGTCTCTTTAAGCACTCTGAGAACAATGCAAAACACAATAAAAGCCCAGAGAACTGAAATTAAACACACCAGACAAGATCCAAGTCCCAAGTTCAAGGTACCACCAGCACCGAAAGGGTTAAGTGCAGTGACATTTTTTTAAGATTCAGCTTGTAAAAGCCTTGAGGCATTTATCTTCACACCCAGTGAGTTTTGCACTACTGAAAACAGCAGAATCTCCCAAGGGACTGTCACACGAACAGAGAGAGAGAGACCGAAAAACTTCAAGGATAACAGATAGAGGTCTGCAGACAGAAGGTGAGTTGGTTCATATCGCTTTAAAACAAATTTTAGTAACCCTTTGGCAGTTGGGTTAACACAGTAGAAGTGCTGTAAAATATGTGGCCTCTTTTCTTTCAAGCATCTCCTGCAGGTCTGAACCTGTCGACGGGTGATGCCTCGTTCCATCACTGCTTCTCTGTAGTCTTAATCCATGTACATTATTATTGCTCTGTCTTGCATCATTTACATATCTTTCTTTATAAAATGGAAGGATTAAATATTGGAGAGTTTTACCAGGTGTGGTGGTATGTTTTTGAACATTGAGGCATTTCCTTATTCAGAACTGCACGCTGTTTGTGTTCTTGTAGATAAGCTAAGATGACAGCTTACAACGTTCTAGTGTTTATCAGGAGTTGTTTCACCCTAAAACATCAGAAAATGTTGCATTTGCTGTAAAGCAAGAGCTCAGGAAACAAACACACTAGAAAATACCAAACTTTTGTGTTTTGCTTTTGGATTTGACTTTGCAGAAGTAGTGTCCATTAGATTAAAGTTAGTTGGTTTACTTATGAATTTCCTTTTCCTGTTTTTGAAAACCAGAAGACTAGCAGTTAGCTTTCATCTGCTCGCGGAGAGGTAAACAGTTGCTGTAGAATTCTTATCAAATTAATAAGGGTGTTTTTAGAGTGGAATTTTTCCTTCCTGCAATGCATTTTAAGAACACAAGGAGTTTACTTCTGTCTTTCAGGTGGAACTTTGACTAGAGATCGTGTTGCATCTGCTAAGCTGTACAAAATGAACAGGAAAGGAACCCCATTGTCTAAGCAACAATCAACACCCAACTTTGGAAGGGGTAAGTTTGGTACAGTATATGATAATACTACATCTCAGTGCTTCATGTTGGCTTGCGCAATGTTCTTTTTTTGTGTGTACATTTTGTCTTTGTAAAAGGCTAGTATGTTTAATGTGCAGGTCCACTGCACAAACTCCTGAAAGCTGGCATCCAGACATATTGTTGGGTATTGTCAAAATAGGTTAAAAGTATAGCAAAACATTGTGTCCTCAACATTCTTTGCAAGCTTGTCATAAAGTGCTCTATCAAAAGAGCACTGAACCTGTTCTATAAATAACCTCTTTGCAATGAAGCACTTTGCTCATGCCAGGCTCGATGACTTGTGCAATCATTGAACACAAAGTCATTGCAAAATATTTCTGTTTTCATTTAAAACCAAAGAAAGCTTTATTATAAATACAATTATTTAAATTACACTAATGGCATTCCATACATTTGACTCCATTATTTGCTATTTAATATAAGTCTGTGAGAATGATGGCACTGTAATTTAATGGTTTACACTTTTTCAGTCTATGAAATTAGAGTCAATTTTAACCAAATACTACAAAACAAGAAGAATACTGCAAATGTATGGCACAAAGTGAGCTGAACTTGTGTGTCAAAATGAAAGTATGGCTTTTCCGTCTCTGAGATGTAAAGTAAGGGGAGGGGGCAGAGGCTTGGTAGGTATTGAACCAGTGCTACGCTGCAGGGCGGAGTTCTGCTTCTCTTATTCGTTTTCCTACAAATGAGTAAAGGTCGGAGGAGACACGGTTTTAGTAGACACAAATAAACAGAGCTATCCTGTCTGTCACCCCTTATACTTTCTCTGAGACACTCTGGTAGCCTGACCTTCTAAAAGCTCCAGGTAAATTAATGCATTTCTGAGCTGAGCTGTTGTGTTTTGAGAACGCTTTGCTCATTTACTTTAAGCCTACGGTTCTTCCATGCTCATTTTAAGATCCAGCAAAATTAGGTGAGTGTAACTTCAGCCATGGGGATGTATGAAAACGGATTAGGACATTAATGGATGCGGTTTGAAACAGAGTATTCCTCTGGGGTCTTGTGTGTGTCAGCGTGTGCTTTCCAGAAGCTTGATAATGATACGGCACGTACAGTATACTGGAGGCGTGTGAGTTATGTTGATTTAAAAAGGAGTAACCTGTGATTCTAGTTATCTGTGCAGGGGTAGGGCATAGTGTGAGCTGGTTTAAGTCAGGTTGAGCTGTTATATAAGTTGCTATGGTTGTGGATGGGAATGTAAACAACCTGTTTTTAATAGTGGATATATTGTAAGCCATAGCGTATACAGCCTGTCTTTAAAGGTTCATTAATGTTACTGGAACATGCGTTAGCTAATGCCAAGACAATGTTATTCCCTTATAAAAAAAACAGCGAGCTGGGAAATGATCCTGACAGCTTGCAAGCTCCAGAACCTGCCAGCATTTAGAAGGGTCTCATGTTCAGCTCGCAGCTTGTTGTGATGTCCAGCCAGGGCTCTCTGCTGATGATGCTGTCAGACCCTTTAAATAGGGAGGAGAGGGATACTCACTGAAAACACTGAAGCTTCTTAATAAGACCTAGAACAGAAGACCACAGTTATAAAGCAACAAGAAAACAGAGAACCCAAACACAGAGATCCAGTAAAACCATGGCAAAAATAGCTAAAGAAGGTAAGAGAAAAAGTGTATATTCCAACAATAGTACTATAGGATCGGTCAAGCTGAATAATAGGGGTCAGTGACAGTCAAAAGATTGGATATTGACAAGCTTTTCCTTAGTTAAAAGTTGACAAGATATAAGATATATTTGTAGTATAATAGTGTGTGCTTAAAATAAACAATTCCTTTGACAATTCCTTGTTTATTCAAATATAAATAGAGTAAAAATCAATTATATATACATGTATTATTCTATTTATGAAGTTTATAATATATTTACACCATGCCTTAAAAAAAAATATATATATATAATAAAATATTATATACATAATGTATTTGTTTTTTACTGTATATAATGCATATCTTACAGTAAAAATATATACGATTGATTTATATAACTGAGGGGTTTACTTCCATGCGGAAGACACAGCTGTTCTAGAAGTGTGTCTGGTATCTAGGTTTCCTAGATGGGCAGGGCTGAGAGGAGTCTGGAATCATTCATCTGACAGGCTTGTCAAGCGTCTAAATCGAAGGGCTGCGGTTTGTTGACAGTGCAGTGGAATATTCAGTTACATGTCAACACAGGTGGAAGTCAACAATCTTGCACATGACTTTATAACCCTGCCTGCCATTAAAAACTGTTTATAGGGATGGGCCTGACCTACATTGCCATGCTATAAAAGCACTGGACCTTGTACGCTGATGTCATATCCAATGTGATATGGGAAATAGAAAGGTGGCCAAGGCATGGTAACTGATATGAAAGTATAATCTATTGGACAGGATGCAAATGTGGTTTTGATATGCACAGGGAGTCTGTGCACGAATGGAGGAAGGGTGGTGAAGTTAGGCATAATAGAGACAAAAACCAGTGGTCAAGGCCTGACAAATTATTTGTGAGATGCTTTTTGAGAAAAATTCAAATAAGAAATTCAATTAATTATTACACTTATCCAACATTATTTTTTTGCAAATTTCAAATGTCAAAAGCATCCTGCATTAGCCTGGGAAAACCCAGACAACTTCCGGCAAATTTAGATTTGCTCTGAAAGTTAGTCTAGCAAAGAGCTCATTCAAACCCATTTCCAATCCGTCGAAATCGAGGCACCAATCAGAAACGTTGGGGCGGGCTTTACATGATGACGACAGCCCTGGGATTTTGAAGCAGATTTTGTAGCCTACATTACAAAGATGGATGCCGCCGTCGAACATCACTCGTTCGAATCAGCAATCGCGTCTGTTTTAAGCAATTTGAACGTTTCCTTTTTGTTAAAAATCGAGCTAAGAACAACACTCAGAGATTCACCGCCGCTCTGCATACGTCATCTCCTTCATCGCTCTGATTGGTTTTAGGTCTATCCGCGACATCCGTTGGTGACGCCCCTCTGGAAATGATTTGTCTTATTACTTTGTATTAAGTTAACAAACAGCATTTTTTTTTTTACTTACTATTAGGAAGATGTACATATATAAACCTAAAAATAACCAGATTTTTTTTTTTTTTTTTCACTGTTTACAACTAGGGCTGTCAATTTAATAAAATTGAGAATAATGTCCCAGATTTTCAAAAGCAACTTTGAAAACCCTAAAAGATAGGCTACATTTAGTAAAGTGTCAGATTTTCTGTAGACCCAGACACCAGTTTGAAAACAAGACAATTTGCCTTTTCTTAATGTGTTGCATGTAAAACTAAACCACAAAGTTACACTTTGCAAATGTGCTGCATAGCTACTTCTGCTTCAGTGCATGCATAACATTTAATGCATTATTATATAAGTTCCCCTTCCACTTGTGGTTTGTTCTTCATGATTGTGCCTAAACTAATTATGATTGTCTACCAAGTAATTGGGGGCTTTCACACTGGCAGTTTAGTTCGGAACGGGGCACGGTTCGCATGAAAAATCGCTAATGTGAACGCTGTCATGGGACCCGGGTGCGCACTGGGGTACCGAACCCGAGACTACCTGGAGGACTCGGGTGCGCACTTGTTCAGGAAGTAAAGTGACCTGCGCATGCGTTTTAGCTTATTGTGATGTATTCAGTTAAATAAAACACTTGTAAGGGATGATAGTGTTGATGATTTACCTTGGGTACGAGCGAGAGTGAGCCTGCAGTGTATTTGTGCATTGCGCGTGAAATCTAGGGCACCAAATTTGGAAATCCTCTGTCTCCTCAAAAGAGTCCGTTTGCAAGCAGCAGAAGGCCACCTTATGTGACACACGCACAGTAAACCTGTATTGTTCACTCAACTGCGCATAATAGCAGCGAATTAATAAAAAACCCAATATTGACCCGCGTTCTGTTTTCTCTCATGCGCCGTGCACGTTTGCGATGACGTGATATGCACGCAAACGCGTGTGAAACCAGACCAACGCTGAGGGGGGCGCCGGGAACAAACGCGCTCGGACCGCAGCAAACGAGCCCAGAGTAAAAGCCCCCTGAAACCTGAACTGTGTGGACCGATACTTGAGGACATGTTTACAATCATGATGTGTGCAGTTGCAAAACTGCCACGACTTACACATACACATAATTACCTCCGGTTTATTTTACCACCTTCAATAATGGTTTTACATTATGGCAAAATCCAGTAAATAATTTCTTAGCCAAAATATGACACATAATAGGCTAGGCCTTCTAACAGTGCCATGTTATTCATTTCAAAGCACGACTCTCAGTTGTCAGGTTTTGGCAACATGTTTGGGTACTGCCCAAAGTAATGAAAGTTTTTAGAATACTTCATACAAATGAACTCCATGTACATAAGGTGTTCCTACACCTGATGAAAAACATTGGCTAATTATAGAAAGACATTCTTTCTGATGGCACCACTCCTTGCAGAAATGCCGCGTCAGTTCACGAAGATCTCTCTCCAAGAGGTGGATGAGAAAGTCCGACTCATGGCTGAGAAAGTGTACGCTTCAGCTCTGAAGGAAGAAGAGTCTAAGAACAGCTTGTCCATGTTCACCGTCCCTGAGGACTGTCCCATTGGCTTACACCAGGCCAAGGAGTGGGAGCTACGCAAAGAGATGGAGGAGCAGATGTCAGAGAAATCTGTCAAGAGGTCAGTGAACTCAAATGTGCCACGGGTTGCAGAACTAATCAGCAGTTTGCATTATTGTGATGTTCAATATGTATCTATTATTCTTTATGCCCCATTTTAGGAAACAAAGTTTCAAGCTGATACGATCCCAATCAATTTCCTTGCAAATCCCCGCCGCTCAAGATTGGGCTATGTCTGTGATTTCACCCCTGCTGACCCCTTCCACAGCCACAGGCCTTATGCCAGACAATATCCCAGAATTCCAGAGGGTCACCATCAGTGGAGACTACTGTGCAGGGGTAAGAGACAAATGATTATATATATATATATATATATATATATATAGTACAGTATATTATATTTAATAAGGTATAATGATTTATACTACGGGGCTGTTGAATGATTGAATGAATCTGATTGGTTGACGAACGTTCTAAGGTGTGCAATTACTTTCTGGGAAACACATGGCTAAAGTAGTTAGCCAGGCAGGTCTTGGTATTACAGTTCCATATCACTTCGCCAAAAGATTTCAGTTATTTCAAAGTTCCTTACAACCCACAACAGCAAGAGAACCAAAACCCACAATGACACTGACCAAGCAAATAAATATAGTAAACAATAGGATAAAAACGTTTTGTTTTTTCCCCACAAAATTACGTTTTATTATGTACGGAAAGCACATAGGCCTACTCTCTTTCTCCCTATCTCTCTCACACTCAAACACGAGGTGCATTACCGGGTGTGCATTATTTTTCTAATAATTTAACGGCCCCTCGTCAATTATTCCTTACATATATTATATATGAAGATATTTAATAATATAATATACTTAAATATCTAAGTATATGAAAAGTTCAGGAAAGTTAATAAACAGGGCTGGGTACATAGTACAAGTACGAGCAAGTCACACCTGTGCGACACAAATTAAGTTTGCATGACCAGTACAGGTGTGGTTTCATAATCAAATACTTTGGATGCAATGGTAGATTAGTAGACTAAATTATGAAAAAATGCAAGCAAGAAAGTGCCCATTATACAGTGATTCATATTTGATGAACAGAGTATTTTATGCGTACTTTTAAAAGTACACTAGCATATTATGCCTCCAAAGCTAACAAGATATGGACTACAAGTCACAAACTTTTAAACTTAGAGGTTTAAGGCATATATAATTAATATCGTTCAAAAGTTTGGGGTCAGTAAGGTCTTTCTTTTTAAAGAAATTAATACTTTTATTCAGCAAGGACACATTAAATTGATCAAAATCGACAGTAAAGGCATTTATAATGTTACAAAAAATGCATAAATGCTGTTCTTTTTAACTTTCTATTCATCAAATAATTCTGAAAATGTATGATGGTCTCCAAAAAAAGATGAATAATCAGCACAGCTGTTTTTTAGCTTTATAATAATAAGAATTTTTGTCTTGAGCACCAAATCAGCATATTAGATTGATTTCTGAAGGATCATGTGACACTGAAGACTGGAGTAATGATGTTTAAAATCAGTTTTTCCATCACAGGAATAATTACATTTTAGAAATGGAAAAGTTATATAATATTTCACAATATTACGTTTTTTACTGAATTTATGATCAAATAAATGCAGCCTTTGTGAACATAAGAGACTTACCAACTTTTGAACTGTAGTGTATATTCTGTACTCCTAAAAGCTGACAAAATTAATGAATCTATGATCACTTCTGACAGATAACAGTTGAAGACTACGAACAGGCAGCAAAAACTCTGCTGACAGCACTCTTCATCAGAGAAAAATATTCCCGGCTGGCATATCACCACTTCCCCAGGACCACAGCCAGTTTTCTAAGGAGTGCCAATAATGAGAAATGGAGTGAGGAGGACGAAGTGCTGCCAGGTATGTCATGGTTGGCAACAGTTCATGCACCAATAACCTAACTGTTCAAAGACCTATAATGACAACAGCTTTGAGACATAAGAAATGAGAAGACTGTCCTAAATCCTTAGTACAGTCTCAAAGACTGTAGTGTGTTCATTAGGTTTGGGAAAGTGATACTAAAAACATTTAGTCCTGTTTCTATTTATATCAGGACATCAATATTATACGACATTAGTATTCATCAGCACTACCGTTATACTTTATTTCCATGGTAACAGATATCTGCCCCCCTTCAAGTGAGGGTGAGGATCCCTACAGTATGGAAGACCTCCCACAGGATCTGAACTACTCCCTGAGGATGAAAGATGGAATCATATATGTCTATGATAATGAGGATGCTTTAAAACAGGATCAGCCACGGAGCTTGCCATATCCTGACTTGGAAACTTTTGCTATTGACTTGAGCCACGTCCTTGCCATGATTGCAGACGGACCAACGTGAGTTCGGTTATATTATATTTATAACACTGCATGCATCTGTTGCTTATTATTATTATTATTATTAGGTGAATTCAATTCTCTTTTATAGGAAGACCTATTGTCACAGAAGGCTTAACTTCCTGTTGTCCAAGTTCCAACTACATGAAATGCTGAACGAGATGGCAGAGTTAAAGGAACTGAAAGGCGTTCCTCACAGAGACTTCTACAATGTCAGAAAGGTATTTCAAATAAAGTTGCATAAACACTAACATTTACACTATTTACTGCATAAAGACCCTTTTCACTCCTAAATGTACATATTTGTGAATATTCAGGTTGATACGCACATTCACGCAGCTGCCTGCATGAACCAGAAGCATCTTCTGAAGTTCATCCAGGACACCTATAAGACAGAAGCAGAGCGAGTGGTGGTGGAGAAGAACGGAAAGAAGCTCACCCTCAAACAGGTGTTTGACAATCTGAAAATGGACCCTTACGATCTCACAGTGGACTCATTAGATGTACACGCGGTACGTATTTCAGATAACCTCGGGACTTCCAAATTATGCTTTTATGCTACATTTTCTTGCAGAATAGATCTTGCCGCAATAAGAAATTGCTCTATTGTCTGTTACAGGGCAGACAAACCTTTCATCGCTTTGATAAATTCAATTCCAAATACAACCCAGTGGGTGCTAGTGAGCTCCGAGAGATCTACCTCAAAAGTGATAACTACATCAATGGAGAATATTTTGCACGTCTCATCAAGGTAAAATTGATCAACTCATATGCTGATACACAAGATAAAATGAACTATAACTGTCAAGAAAATACGGACTATTTTCTTAAGTGGGTAACAATCAATCGCATTGTTCCTGTTGTGCAGGAAGTTGCTCAGAACCTGGAGGAGAGTAAATATCAGCATGCAGAACCCCGTCTCTCAATTTACGGCCGAGCCCCTGAAGAGTGGGACAGCCTGTCCAAATGGTTTATCAAGCAAAAGTTGTACTCCCCTAACATGAAATGGATCATACAGGTGCCCAGGATTTAGTAAGTCCTCTTCTAATGTCAATTAACATATGAATTTATAGAAATTTAACAGTCAATGAAACTTCAATAATCTAACACATTTTTTTAAATATATAGATACAAATGTTTAATAAATGTTTTATATATTTTCAATATATTTAAGAAATTAATTAAATATATTGAGGAAAAAATATTTTTTGATTCATACAGCACTTATTCCACTGGTCTACAATTTTTTAAACACTATTTATTATGTATTTGATGTGCTGAATTCAAATATAACAATTAAAACAACCGATTGGCTACTGTTTCCAAGATATTGAAGTTTTTACATTTTACGTCAATGTATATTGTGTTGAATAGATATTACCGGTCACCTGTCATGTTTATGTAACACTCAGCAAAAAATTATTATAAAACAAAAGGCAAAAAAAAATCTGCACTTCTTTGGCTTGTCTCTTGTATTCATTAAATGGATTATCTCTTCTCACTGTCCAGCAATATTCTGCAAGCATTGATGGGCTCCATTTGCAGTTATCTGCACTGCAATGACTAAACAGAACTGTGTCCCGTTGCAGAATCAAACACTGGCAAATATGACACTGTTTGACAGGGATGCAAAACTCAGTTCCAGGAGGGCCACAGCCCTAGTTTAGCTTCAACCCTAATTAAACACACCTGATCCAGATCATCAAGTCCTTCAGGCTTAAAGGGTAACTAAACCACTGGTCAGAGCTTGACTCCACCCACTGGGAATATTTGAAAAATGCTGGAAAAGTGGGCGGAGCCCAGCGGAGATAGAGGGAATGAACGGATACTCTATCCTGATCGTTTTCAATACTCGCAATTCCAACTCCTGACTCGCTACAGTGGTTTTGACAAAACAAGATGGTTTTTATACTGCCATGGATGTGGTAGCTCGTACCAAGGGCGTGATAAGCTGAAACCTGCTTACGTCAGCTGTCACCGCTACCGTCACGAACTACCGCAAACATCCAATAGGAAAATTCAACTGCAGTAGCCACCGTTCAACCTGAAGAGGGTAGCACTCAGACGTTTTTACACCATTTATTGTAGAATTAAAACACTCTATACCCAAATGTCAAAAAAGTTACTCGAATCAATGACCAGCACTAATAAAGCCCCAGTCTTACAGATCATTAATAAAAAAAGTTGGTTTAGTGTTTAGTTACCCTTTAATTGAAAACTACAGGGTTGCGTGTTGGCGCAGGATTGGAACCATGGCTGTGCCCTTCCAGGAATTCAGTTTCGCACCCCTGCTGAATGACTTCTAGAGCTGATTTAGGGCAATTTGTTCAGCTGAGTGATGTGAGCATTGTTATGATTGCATCATCCATGACTTCAAGAAATATGAAACAATACCAGCTTCAGATTGCATAATTTATTGGTTTGCCTAAAAACAACTGTCCAAACCCAGTCATAAATCTATTCATAGATCCAGTCAAAGATGTATTTTAGTAATTATTCATTCATCCTCCACCATTCCCACATCAATGTTCGTATATACTGACCTAATAGCATATCTTTGAAAAACTAAAGCCAATCAACAATTTTAAGCATAATTTTCATTCTCAGTGACCCAGAATTAGTCAAGTTTGACTACATTTATTTCAGAAGCATTTGGGCTGTACTGTTATTGTTTGGGCTGTACTGTAATTCTGCTTTCTAAATTCAAATTACAATTCTGCATCCTTTTTCTCTGTCAGTTAAAATTCATGATTTTAAAAGGCATTCTCAATTCATTTCTGAATGGCACAACTCTACAACATATATGATGTTTCCACTCAAACATCTATATTTTTACTCATACTTGCTCATAATACATCTCCAGTATTTCTAAAAGCAAATATTCCTGACTTGTGTACTTTGTTTTTAGTGACATTTTCAGATCAAAGAAGATTGTTCCCAACTTCGCCAAGATGCTGGAGAACATCTTCCTCCCACTGTTCCAGGCCACCATCAACCCTCAGAAGCACAAAGAAACACATGTCTTCCTGAAACACGTAAGTGCTTTTGTTAAGCTGGCAAGACCAGTCAGAGCAGATTCATGCCACAATAGAACATTTTAACACCAATAGTACAATTAACAGCTTAAACACAAAACAGTCATTTTACTAGGGAATCAAGATTTCAATACCAAATCCCTTATGAACAATTAAATAGTTCTCAGATGAATATGAGTTCATGTACAATTGTCATGCACTATAAAATCACAGAAAACATAGTTGTGGTTAAACTATGCACAAGTCAGTAATGTAGTCATTGTGTATTCATTTTTTTTCCCCACCAAATGTGACCAAAGTCAAAGGAACGCCACCTTGCCTATATATCTGAACAGCCTGATCAGTCCTTATGTAAATATTAAGCCACAACCTCAGGAAAATTAGGGCAAAAAGTGACTGTAAAAAGATGTCAAAAAAGCTTTCTATGTTTTTTCTGCAGGTGACAGGCTTTGACAGTGTGGATGATGAGTCCAAACATAGTGATCACTTATTCACCTATAAGAGTCCAAAACCGGAAGAGTGGACCATGGAGGAAAACCCACCATACACTTACTACCTCTTCCACATGTATGCCAACATCATGGTCCTCAACAACCTACGCAAGTAAGTCACTATAAAGATCAAGCTCTGATTTCAGCACTACAACCCATTGTCTTCACAGAACAAGCTAATATATCAAGACAAGCTATTCCCTTCAAATTTAGCCTTAAGCTTTATAACTGAAGTCACAAGCCATGTTAAATAGTGAAAATGTTTTTTGCAGGGAACGTGGTCTCAATACCTTCCAGTTCCGTCCTCACTGTGGCGAGGCAGGATCCATCACCCATCTGGTGTCAGCCTTCCTCACGGCTGACAACATCTCTCACGGACTCAACCTGAAGAAGGTCAGTGTCTAAAACTAATTGTTCACATCAAACCACACAACATTGCACCCACAGGCAGAGTAGTTCAGAATCCACTAAATAAACAAACAATTATTACACCACTTTCAACAGTAAGGATCGTTTCACTGCCAATTACGGGGGAAAAAAAGCATGAATTTACATGCATAATTTCTAGGGCATTGACACGAATTTTACCATTCGATTTAATATCGATTAATTGGGGACTATTAGGTACAGTAGGCTACATGGCAAAAAAATCTCTCAACTAACGCTGTAAACTATACAGGGACAGTGGTAATACATAGTATATAATATTAAAGGTAACTTATTTGTAGGCTACCTAAATTACACATAAGGAAGGTTTTTTAAAATAACGTTATAATAATTTTTTTTAAATGACGTAATTGTGTTTCTACTCGTCGTATTTGGTGGCTGTCATAAAAACATGATGGATTTATTCATACATGCATACATACATTAAATATTGAAGAGCTGGTTAAGTTGAAATACAATGAATATGCTAGTCCCTCCAGAAAAACGCGATTATGCGATCGCATGATTTAGTGCATAATCAGCCAAAGTCCGCATATTTATGCGGGGGCCGCATTTTTTCAAATACGCCGGACTTTCGCCGCATAAATTGCCGATTTCCGTGCAAAATATGCGGGGCTTGCATGATTTCATAATCCTCGCATTTTCGTTGCAAAAAAGTTTGCTTCACACAAGAGCAGCCATTTCCCCCTGTTGCCATGGGAACGTTATGAAGTGACGTAATTAAGCGACGTGAACATCATCGAAAAGCTGTAAAACAGGAGCACGCTATTTTTTTATATTTTATTTATTCATTTTTACAGAAGTTGTAGCATATTCCTTTTGTAAAGCTACAGAACTGGTTTGACTCATCAATGTTTTGTAAGTTTGTTGTTTTTATTAAGGTCTGAAATAAAACAAGATGGGAACTTAAATATTCCCAGCACTTTCTGTGATGTAGTATGCTTGCTTATCATAGGAAGTAAATAAATAGCTCTTTACATTAAGGTAGTAGCCTAGTGAGAACAGGGTGTTGGGGGAATCACTTTTTTTTCTCTTTTTCATCAAAACGCAGTTTTTGCAAGTTCCCGCGATTTTTGCAAGTTCCCGCGATTTTTGCAAGTTCCCGCGATTTTTGCAAGTTCCCGCGATTTTTGCAAGTTCCCGCGATTTTTGCAAGTTCCCGCGATTTTTGCAAGTTCCCGCAATTTTTGCAAGTTCCCGCAATTTTTGCAAGTTCCCGCAATTTTTGCAAGTTCCCGTTCCCGCAATTTTTGCAAGTTCCCGCAATTTCATCGCATAAAACTGCATAAATATCCCGCATATTCCATCGCATTTTTTAAGAAAACGGGCCGCATAATCAAGGATTTTTGCCCGCAACAATCACAAAAAAACGCTGCGTTTTTCTGGAAGGACTGTATTGCATATATTTATCAAAATGCTCCTCTCCAAGTTAATTTTCCTAGCTGACTGACGAGTTTTTGGACATTGATTGAATGGCTTTTCTGAGGAAAATGTAAGATGACGTGACATTATTTAGGCTACAATCTGTTTTATTGACATGTGGTTGAAACACTGATTGAGCGATTACACAGATTTCAGGTAAGTTGTGCTGAATCTTTCAACATACTTTCTGAAGTTCTTTCATGTTTGTTTCATGCTATAACTAGCAAAACAGATGACGATCAGTTCACGTGCGCTAAGCTTGAACCGAAGGCGCTATATGATATGTCACGCCACCAAAGAGCACCAAAAATGTATTTATCGTTTGAATTTCATAATACAATTGACAGAATTTGAAAGCTGAGGCATTATTATATATCAGAAGTAATAAAGCACAAAGCTTATTGCAATTTATTAGATTGGAGGCGCGCTACAAATGTTCTTACTGACCCAATAGGACAAGTGACTGTTCTGTCAACTGACCATCATTATTATTGCCATGTATGCTAAGACTCTTAGAAAGGAGTAATTTAACACACAAAATACCTTGAAAATCATCAGATACCAGTACTGATGTAGTCTTTTCTTGTGGTTTAACATTGTTCTTGTTCATTTCTCAATACAGAGTCCTGTGCTGCAGTACCTGTATTACTTGGCCCAGGTGCCGATTGCCATGTCTCCACTCAGCAACAATAGCCTGTTCCTGGAGTATTCCAAGAATCCCCTCAGGGAGTTCCTGCAGAAGGGCCTGTGTGTGTCCCTCTCCACGGATGACCCATTACAGTTCCACTACACAAAGGTCTGGGAAAGCAGTTCCTGTGAATGACTCGCATAGCAACAAACACTGCCAACACTGAATGAGTTAATTATTAATCTACTTTGAGTGTAATCATCTAAAGCAGTCAGGTGATGTGATTCTGTTGTTTATGTACCTTTAGGAGGCCTTGATGGAGGAGTACGCCATAGCAGCACAACTGTGGAAACTGAGCACATGCGATGTGTGCGAGATCGCCAGAAATAGTGTGCTTCAGGGCGGTCTGTCTCATCAGGTACTTTCTCTCTCTGTCTTAACCTATAAGGGATATTCTAGGTTTCAGATTTCAAATAATTTCAGATCATCCTTGTTTTCTTAAAAAAAAGAAAGAAAAAGAAAAACCCAGCGAAATCTGAGGTGACATTAAGGAACATTCAATGGCAGTTAATGGGGCCAATTTGTAGAGGATTTAAAGCTGAAAGTTTAATAAAAGCACTTCCATTAAAGGTACAATCATGCTTGAAGTGGGCCGGAACACACCGGTACTATACACACTTATATATTTTAATCTGTAGCATATGCTCACTTTTTCTTGAGTACCGGCACTTCACTTCACTTCATGTTGCCATTGCCGGTACTCTGAAATGCAATTTCTTTTTTTCAAATGCAAAATTTCAACCAAGGTGGCTGTTCTTCCACAAAACGCAAAAGTTACGCAATATAATTATTCTGTTTAAACTTGTGTATTATTTGAGCTGTAAAGCTGTTTAAATAATTTTTACAGTCTTTCTAGGGTTTTAGAGTTCATGGTATTGCATTGCCCTGCAACTGGTTAATAAGGGATTTTTTTTTTACACCAAAATCATGTTAACATGCTTTCTGTTCATGTCTTTTGGCTGTACGATTGAAACAGTATTTGTATGAATTGGCCCTTCACTTACATTGTAAGTGCCTCACTGTAACTGAGATTGTTGCTTTTTAATGAAAAAAAAGAACTATGATACAAATACTGTTGGTTGTATACTTCTACTGAAACCGGAATATTTGCTAATTTTAAATGCATTCCAACACTAAATTTAACATCAATCCTTGTGTATAAAAAAAGCTGACATTTAGATTTCCCTTGCAGGAGAAGAAACACTTCCTGGGTGAGAATTATCTACAGGATGGACCAGAGGGTAATGACATCCGTATGACAAATGTGGCGCAAATCCGTATGGCCTATCGTCACGAGACCTTGTGCAATGAGCTCAGCTTCCTAGTGGATGCCGTCAAGTCAGAAGCGTTGGCCGCACAAGCCCCGTAAACATGGCAGGGTGACCGATAGAGTCCATATGAGTGGACCAGACATCAGCATAAAACTTTATCTTGCTATAAGTGATGCACAAAAGAGCCATGGATATACATCATTCAGGTAGCAAGATGTGGAGTCATGTGACTTAATGCCTTATATGATGGGCATATCCCTTCCCATAGTGCCTTGTATGTAATGGATATATTTCATATCTCAAATGTCAAATATCCTTTTAAAAAATGGGACGTTCTTAACTGTTTCAGTATTTTGCATGGTGTCTGAAAATGGGAGGGGCATACATTTGTTACCTTTTCTTAACAAGGGAGTCTTCGGGTGAACAATGTATTCTTTTGTTCAAATAAATGTTTTTGTAAAAAAAAAAAAAAGGCACTGGAACTAAAATTTGCCTTGATAAACTAGTTTGTTTGCAACCTGAGATTCTGGGGTGGGTTTTTTTTTTTGGCACAAAATAGACTTGTGTACTTGAACTTGCACATTTTGTACACCAACAATGATGGTTAAACTGTTGTAAGGATGTTGTATAATGTATGGGTGCTTGGCCTCTGAAAAGCCACCTGAAACATGTGTGAATGCTTCATATCTTTGCTAATATCTGAATACTGCACTCAAAGTAAAATAAATGAAGTGGTGTCAAAAAAACCTTGCTGAATCAATTCATAATGAGATTGTAATAGTTCATATTTCAGATCATTAGATAAAGTATTCTTTATTTGCTCGACACTGCAGCCTTCAAACAAACTAGCTAGAACAAAATATTCAATTTACTTTATTATTCAAGATTTACACAAGAAGACAGAACTGAGAACATCAAACATCTCAATTTAGTCATAAGTAAAAGAAATATCCTTCAACAACACCTAGCAGCTAATGTCATTTTATCTCTGATAAAACTATTAACATTCAGTCCAGTCTCTATATAGCTGAATATTGCAGAAATGAACATTTTCCACAAATTCACATACTCTTCTCATACATAAGTCCAAGATGAATAGGATTTCAAATTGAAAAAACCAACAACACACAGTTAAAAGGTAACACACCCCCACTGACAGCGTCAGTGATGCCCTATAAAATAAAGGTTTCATTTGCAAACCATTAGGCTGCAAAAGAAAACAAGCACATTAGTTCATTCTCAAATGTTAATCCATTTGAAAGATCCAATTATTTTTCATAATAAATGTAATGAGTCATGCCCTATAATTAGCATTTGGTCCTTACACAGAAACAAAGTTCATGTTAAATGGATATAGTTATTCTGTTAAACCTTAGATAATAAACATTACTGAATCATGTGTGACTAAATTATAGCATACATACACTTAAAAATAACCAGATTTTGTTTATTTCTTACTATTAGGGCTGCCAATTGAATAAAATAGTGATTAATGTCAGATTGTTTTGACCAGATTGTCAAAAGCAGAATGAAACCACAATAACATTATATTCTGTAAATGTGTAAAAAAAAATTTGCATTAAACATTTAATTTATGTCTTTCATCATCAACTTTGAAAACCCTAAAAGATACATTTAGTAAAGTGTCTGTAGACCCAGACACCAGTTTGAAAACAAGACACTTTGCCTTTTCTTACAGTGTTGCATGTAAAACTAAACCACAAAGTTACACTTTGCAAATGTGCTGCATATACTTCTGCTTCACAGTGCTGGTTGTGCATGCATTCTGATATATCAAAGAGCAATGACTCAATATTTAACATGCTTTATTAGAAACATTACTGTATTATATGAATATGTACACAACTCCATTTCCAGGAGAGAAAATCTGTAAAATGCAATTAAATCAAGAATCTGTGATTTGTTAATTGTCTTTAAACTTTATTTAACTGACAAAAAATACAACAAAAAGATTTCCAATGTTTTTCACTGACCAACTTAATTGTATTTTGTAAATATAAACAAATTTAGATTTTTATGGCTGCAACACACCCCAAAAAAGTTGGGACAGAGGCACATTTATACCAATATTTAGCAAATTTTTTATTTATTTTTTATCTCAACTGGATATGAATATAAAGATGTTAGTTCAAAAGTTTTTTTTTTTTTTACATTTAGACACCTACGTGTATGGCACACAGAAGGCCTTGGGACTGAGAAACATGCTGGGGGTGCAAGGTTTATGTATGCACCATTTTTATATTTTGCACTAAAAACAAACAACGCACATATCTAATAATCAAAACTCTCATCATGAGCACAAAACAAAGTAATAATAACGAATTATAACTAACATTATTATAACTAATAATAACTAATTAAAACTACGTTTTTTTGTCTTCGCTTGCCATATCTAAATAATTTTCCAAATTATAACATTGTTTATTATGAAATTCTCTTAATAAATATAAATATATGGGGGGAAAAAAACATCTAAAGGTGCCACGTGGTATAAACTTAAACAGTCAGAGTCAACTGTGTGACAGATAAAAATAATTATATTTGCGTTTTAGTATATATTTTCTGTGCACCTTGTTTCTGCTATACTGTTGTTAAAATAACCACGTCATCCGCAGCTCTTAATGTGGCGCTTTACATCTTTAGCGGAGAAGAGAAGCAACATCATTACAGTACAGTATCATTACCACTCCGTTGTTTTGACGCACTGGTAAAATGGCGCAATTATGTCCTGGGCCGCAGTCCGGATGAAAATGGAGGTTCTCTATTTGATTTAAAATACCATTGGTGAGTGTCCGTCTTTGGGTCTGAGAACTCGATGTTCGTTTTCCCCCCGAAAACAAGCTGAAACGTGGACTCATCTGACCACGGCACACATTTCCACTGTCTTTTGGATCATCTGAGATGAGCTCGGGGCCAGAGAACTCGTGGTCAACTCTGCATAGAATTGATTTAAAGCTTTATCCTTGCGTAACAGAGATTCAAGTTGGATTTCTTGAAGCAATGTCAGACTGTGTTAAGTGAAAATGGTTTTCCAAAGTACTCCCGATCACACATGGCTATATTTAACACAGTAGCATGATTGTTCATGCAGTGCCATCTGAGCGCTCAAAGGTCATGTTTCCTGCCTTGATCTCATGTACTGAGTTCTCTTTCATAGGTTCACTCAACGCTGCGGAAAGCGCAGTGGGATATCCTCTGGATGTGCTGATTGCCTGAAGCCCTATAGAATCACACCAATTCATTGGCTGATGGCGCTCGTGCAAAGCTGGCTCCGCCCCGACGCTCTTACGTCGTAGCATGATGAACGCCTGCGCGCCATCCTCTCCTCAGATTTCTCTGCCTTCACGAAGCGGTCACATCTTGCCCTTCGTTCGGTTTTTCTGAGCCCGAATTCTTCAAATTCAACTTCAGCTTTCGTCTCGACACTTCAGCGACTGGTATAAGTGGAACTCTGTTCTCCTTACAGTGAAGTGTCATGGATTATCGACGCTGCTCTCCGCCATGCGTTGGTTTTATCTCGAACGACGACCCTCACAGTAAGTGTGTTAAATGTATGGGTTTTTCGCATGCGCGTGAGGCTGTATTAGGATTGTCAAAATGTACATTTTGTGACAATCTCCTTCTCAAAACCCTCCGCTCTAGACTCGCGGTTTTTGAGAAGGAGTCATTCGTTCCCCCCCGTCGCGCTCCCGAGACTGCTGAGGCCTCTCGTGGATCCGCGGCCTGGGGCTCGGATGTTGAGCTCGAGGATATTGAGTACGAGCAGACGGGCCTCGCCCTTTCTCTCCCTCCCTCTACCGAGCACGCACGTGGCGCGGTTGAATTCGCGCATGATTATTTATGCCCCAGCCCGGGAGCCCGCGAATCGGTTTCTTTCGGTCTGGATGACGTGATTTACACTGCAGCCTCCGACTCCGAGGATTTCGGGCCTGCTTTGACTGATGACGTTATCCCGCCTAGCGGCCAGGACGCGCGGCCTACTCCAGCCTACACTGAGCTTATTGACGTGCTGTTGCGCGCTACATAGAAGCTCTCTATTGACTGGCCTGATGAGCCCCGCGAGTCTCAATCGTCCAAACTCGACGAGAGGTTCCTACGTGGCCCTAATTCTAGGCCAGAGCGAAGAAAGCTGCACTTTTTCAGCGATCTGCATCACGAGATCTCCAGATCCTGGAAGCAGCCTTTCTCCGCACGCCTAACTAATGCGGCAGCCGCTGACTTCACCAACCTTGTGGGTTTTGTGGAGCAGGGTTATTCCGTTATTCCAGCGGTCGAGGACACGCTGGCTAACCACCTCGCCCTGTCGTCTGCACAGTCCTGGAAGGCACGTCCCCTTCTTCCTTCCAAGGCTTGTAGGACTACTTCCTCCCTTATTGGGAAGTCTTACATGGCGGCTGGTCAAGCAGGCATGGCCCTGCATACCATGGCCATCCTTCAAGCCTACCAAGCGGACGTCTTGAAGGACATGGATGAAGGAGAGGGACTGACGCCCGAAGCTGTCAAAGAGCTTCGCAAAGCCACAGATCTGGGGCCTCATTTATAAACGTTGCGTACGCACAAAAGAAGGCGTACGCCGCTCTCTACGCAATAATTGGTATTTATAAAAAGCAAACTTGACGGTAAAATGTGCGGTCCTTCACGCAAGCTCTGACCCAGGCGTACGCACAAAAACGGGTGAACTGAGAAATGGCGACACCGTCGGCAGATGGAAGAAACACGTGAAAGTGTGTGAAACTGTAGACCGTTGTGTAAAATAAATGGCAATACTGCCTCTCATAAATCATAAATAACTTCACAAAGCAAGTCTTACAATTAACAGCCTACACGAACACCCGTTTGATCGATCTGCAACAGAAATGCAAATTAACACATATTTGCAAAAAGAAAAGTGAAATATGTTCTGCAATAATATTGGCATGTTATACAATTCATCCTCATAAATAAGTTGGTAAACAGAACGAAATAATGTACAAAACTGATATTCTCGCCAATGTGTCCGTCAGGCGGAGCAGATATAGATGCAATTAGATAGATAGATAATTAGGGAGATAGATAGATAGATAGATAGATAGATAGATAGATAGATAGATAGATAGATAGATAGATAGATAGATAGATAGATAGATAGATAGATAGATAGATAGATAGATAGATAGATGTATTATTTGTCCACTGGGGAAAGTTGTTTTCATAGTAAAAATGACTTCATCAGCTACGGAATCATGGTATTCATGCATATGCCTTTAGTTTGTTTTATTTTTGATAAAATAACGTATGACGTAGACCTATGTCTCAACCATTCAGAAAGCTCCAAGAAATTACATTTGCGCTGAACTATTTCCCATTTCCAAGTAGATTATAACCGACATCTGTAGCTTGTCATTTCTTTTTTATTTCGGCCACAGTCCGAGGTTGTGAGGCTACAGCA